GGAAAAATGTAATTTTAGTAAAGTTTCCCGAAATAAGTTCAAATGTTAAAAAGCGAAATTTACTTATTTTTGGGCTTTCGTGACTGGTTAAACCAAATAAGCATATAATTATTAATACAAAGATCGACAAACCAGGAGACCTCGCGAATCTTTCCATGTGTTTCCTTATCGGATCTTTATATCTGGTTTTTAGCGACTTTTTAGCCGTAGCGCCATCTAGGAGTAGAAAGTATTTCGTCACCCAGTTAGGTATGGTATGCATCGTTCTGTGGCTTAGTTGGCATAGCGTCTGGCACGGTTTGCTAGGAGACGTCGGTTCGAATCCACCCGAATCTTTGTATTAATAATTATAACAAACTAGTTCAGTAATTTCAGAAAAAATAATTTAGTGTCATGGTGCTGAAACGTCCTAACATTCAATAAAACACTTAAATAAACAATGTTTACATATTGCTAGATGAGTGTCTATGTAAGAATTATGAAAAAATGCATTCTAAGTACGACACCTTTGTAACCTGTGTTTCACATAGAAATAAACAAAATTTAACACATTTTTAAAATTTTCTAAACTGATAAAAACTGCATTAACACATAAGAAAGAAATATCTTTACCTTAACAAGGTTGTTAACGGCGAGGGACACGGCCTGCACTGGCCGTGCCAGATCGGGCATAGCGTTGCCATCTTCTGCTTCTTCATGGAGTATAACCAATCTGGACACCTGGGAACAAACAGTAATTGTATGAAATAAATTACCCGTATAAATGGCTTTTGAATACATGTCTATACATATTCTTTTTTCACTAAAGATATGCGCTATCTTGCTGATTATTTTAAACGATAGATTGTAGAGTTGCTATCGTAGTATAGTATTTAATACATTTTGTTAATGATACATGTAAACTTATATGTATTTACAAACGGCAACCCTATAGTTTCATTCACAAACCTATCTTAGTTCAGTCTGCCATTTTCGCTTTGTATGGTATGGTTGTATCCTTAGAATAATAACGCATAGAATGATAGGTTCATATCAAACGAACTGTCACAAGTGAGGCAAAAATCAAATTCATGTAGGCTAGTTTTAGTAGTAGGTTAATTTTCGGTTTTAGTGAATATTTATATGAAAATACAAGTTGAAACGCGTTACTTCCTTGTGGAATGTGATGTTACTATCTATTTTATGTTTGTCTGACGTATTTTTACACTCATTTACCGCACATTTCGTCATTTTTAGCTAAAATTCTGGAGCTATTCGCGGTGCAAGTTGACCTTGAGCACTGAAGGCCCGCCCGCTCGTGTAGGCCCTTTGGGAGCGCTTCAATTTGCCTCACTTAGCGCGTGCGAGCTAGGTTTCTATGCGTTATTATTCTAAGGTTGTATCATTCTTTCGTGCAATTTCTCGAAAATTCTAGAAAAATGCCTTATTGTGCAGTTTTAGTGTGCAAAAATAAAGCCGCAGCTAAAACATTACCCGAGGTGTTATTTCATATCATGGGAAAGTCTATTTTAATAAATTTTCAATGTTCTGTTTATCGATATTTTTTTGTTACAAGAAACGAAAGTAAAGCTTATGCTCTTGCAATATGGCCGCTCCTTGTTTGGGGAACTAAATTAATAATTTCAATTCGTCGTCGTTCAGCAATTAACCGCTAGATGGCAGTACATTGATTGAAATTTCGATATAATATCAAAACGTCGTAACTTGTAATAATAGGTACTGATGATATTGAACTTTCAACGATATGCCAACAGGTTAAAGTTTAAATTATATTAACAATTCAGAATCTGTTATTTCTTTTTAAATTTCAAACCGCGACCAATCAATATCAATATTTTGCAAATTAAGAATGTTTGAGTTTTGGCGACATTGGTTCTTGTAGTAAATAGAAGCTTAAGGCATTTCCATTGTTTTTTTTTCTTCCGTGGTTTTATTCTTCGTAGGGAATCTGCCTTACAAACGGTCTTCAAGGTGAGTCATCGAAGAAGCGGGAAAAACTGTTTTCCATAGGTATTTACTACTAAATGACGGTCTAAAAAAATATACTATACACCCATTGACTTACAATATACATCTAAGGATATTAAATGATTATCACTAAGATCAGGTTTCTTACCACGGTATGACTTCTTTTTATTTTCCCGATATTTCGGAACGGTTGCACGCTCCATGGTCACGGGTACGAGAAGCCATCGAGATCACGAAGTACAAAACATTTAACCGTGATGATGGTTTTAAACTGTCCAGTGCATGGAATCCGGTCCTTAGTGCGTGCAGTAATAAAAACAAAGACACCTCGAGTTCAGTTTCGCGTGTGGATACAGTCAGTGTGGTTTGTGTGAAAAAAGTGAGTGACAATGGTAACGCCACAACAAATCGCGATGAAGGTAGTCATCGACAACGCAAGAGGGTAGACAGTTATGTCTGCTCTTAAAGCTGTCATCTGCCGCCGTCCAGTCAACCCGTGACCATGGAGCGTGCAACCGTTCCGAAATATCGGGAAAATAAAAAGAAGTCATACCGTGGTAAGAAACCTGATATTACAGATAATCATTTAGTGAATAACCACGAAAGTCTTAAAATCTATATACCTAAGGATATTGTCTAAATAATGTGCTAACTTGTTACACGTTAGGATTTACTTTACTCGATCGTATAAAATCCCGAAACCAGAATAAAACGACTCGTCCGAAGAGTCCGATGTTATTATACAGCAAAAAGAGGATAAATACATAATCTCGTTATTGAAAGTAAGGGCTATCTATAGGTATTTTCAAAATCTTTATATGTTATTTCGTTTCTGAAATATAAAATCGAAGAACTGTCGATCTGATATCCACATCGAAGAACAACGTTGAAATGTACAGTGTCCTGAGAATAAGCAGTCTTGCACATAGGTCTTTGATCTATGGATGGGTCGAAGTCTAAAAAGAATTATTTATCGAGTTCTTAGGTTTTCGCGATTGTTACACATAGGAAATGAAACTATTTTTCCGGATTTAAGACGAAACGTCGGTTTGTTTGAAAAAACAAATATACGCGATTTAAATCCGGAAAAATAGTTTCATTTCCTAAGAATTATTTAACAATAAAATATCTAATTTTGCACATAATTTTTTTTTTTTGGAAATATTTTCACTTTATGTACTACGCAGAACCTGCCAAATTTTGGTTTTCAACTGAAACCTTTTGGTTATGAAACCCACATTTATCCAAAACTTGAAAATTGCCCAGCGGTTTAACGACACGCCGCGCCACCCGCTGCCCCGTCAATCACCATCGGGCACTTGTCAACGTCGGATCTGTGTAAAATTTTCTCCATCTGTACTTATTTTGCTCATATTAATTTTAAGCGCTCAAATAGAGGGACGTGAGAGGCGGCCCCCCACACCTCACCTCCTAATTGATTTCAAGTGTAATTTGGTTATCTATAAATTAAAGTGTTATCAATTATTTTAGAATTTTTTAATCAAACTGAAATAATCATTATTCACATTGATTAAACTCTACCGCTTATTCGTTAGATCGATTCCCCTGAAAAGAATGAGTAAGAAACTCCAGTGTTGCTCTTTGTAAATAAATGAGGGTGCTAAACTGGCGGTAAGCAAAACTGGTCACGCCAGGCCCAAAAAATAAGGGACGGAGCTAGATAAAAGTTTTCGCTTGCAAACAAAATTGTTTCGGAACTGGAAACTGCTGACAGTACAATCAGCCCATCAAGTACAAGGTTTCTCACGTGAGAATATCTCCTTTGTTCGGTACCCTGAGAAACATAGTTCGAGTGAAAGTTAGATAACAATGCAGTGACAACTTAATAGTTATGTGTGCTCCAACTTGAGATAAGTGAGGTATTCTTAGCTTATCTTCAAGTTGTGTAATTTGGTATCTTTACTTGGAAACTTTTCATTTACATAGTTGATATAATACAAAACAGATCAGTCGTCATATTGTTATCATCGTAACCAACTCGTTCTCACTCATTAACTGCCTCTGTGGCCGGACGGGTACCATGCCGGACTGCCACGCAGAGGTCCCAGGTTCGATTCCCGGGCCGGGAGAAATATTTATATGACCTACATTTATTTCTCTCGTGATTTTGGGTGTAATTTGTGGTTATCTATATGAGTGTGTCTTGAAATTACCATTTCTTTAAATGTTACTTGTACATAAGAAAGCAGTACAGAGTACTAAAAAACCGACCTCAAAGTCATTCATCCCCTAGTTTGCCACCCTTAGAGGTGAAATATTTTCTTCACCACCATCACCACACCTGAGCCTGCCCTGCTAACCACATCTGAGGTACCCTCGTTCTAACAAAAACAGAATCATCAAAATCGTTTTACAAATGCCGAGTTATCGCGTAACAATACATACAATAGAATTGAGAATCACCTTCTTTTGTTTAAAGTCGGTTAAAAAGAACACTTAAACAACTTAAATGGCTAATTCTTGCGTGGACCACTTTTACAATTCAACACGTTTCAGTTTCGGATTAGGAACATTACCAGGAGTTTGACGAATGAACGTTTAATTATATAAATTAGATATTGCTTATTATCGCCCGGGAGGGTAACGTCTCTCCGTCTATCGGAACTGGATTTTGCAACCATACATTTTTGGCAAATTCTTTCAGCACCGTGGCAAGCAACAGAGGTTACGCCGTCGTAAGTCAAAATTATGTAAAACACTGGCTAACAAGTTACTTATGAAGAATTCCAAATCTCGCTTGCTGCCCACGTACATTGCGAAACAAGCCGCAATCGCCACACAATCGAGCGCTATATTAGGTGCGTATGCGCAACTCGTAAATGGGACAGCGTTCATTCATATTTTTAATAGGTAGTTCACAGCTGCCGTATAATTAATTGAGGAAATGTTTAGATAGTATTTACATATATTTATTCCATAACGCGCGCGCAGTCCATTACTATTAACGTCAAATTTAGTAACGAAAGAGCTCCTTGAGAAAGAGATCGTCCAGGAAAGTACAGCAATATAAGCAATACTGCGTTCCGGTTTTATTTATTCATGGAAAAACAACAGCTTCGAACACTTAATAAAAACAGGAATAGAAACATAAAGCCAATTACAGGATGACACCTTTTTCAAAAGGTAAGGGTGCTGGTGAAATTACATGCATATGGGACTTGTCGATCTATGTCTCAGGGTGACGGGCGCTGTGGTACTTTTTGCAAGCAAAGTCCGACAAATAAATGAATCACCGCTCTTATAGACACTGGCTCTAATTCCGAATTTATTGTTTTACAAACGAAATTATGTTATGTTTTATAAAGCCATTTGAAAAATTATATAGTAGTCATTGACTTACAAATAAATGGACGACGGGTCTAATACAAAAACCACGAAAAAAATGTCCCAAGTCAACCTATTTAAACGTAGTGACATGTAAAGGAATATGAAAAAGCTAAAACGTTAGATTTAAATTGTAATGTCATCGCAGTACTGTCTAATTTTGCTTGCTTCGCTGTCAGTCGAACAAACGAAGACTAAAGCGTGAATGACGCTCTGTATACGATTTTACCGCCCTATAAGTTCGGACACTTTTTAGCGCGGACTCGACGTCCATATAATTGTAAGTCAATGATTTTAGTACATATTTTTCTCTGTGATTATTTCACAACTTTCACTGTTATGCGAAATCAGCGAAAGCCATTTGAGGTTGTATCGACTTTTGGCCATAAAGCCTTTGACCGGCTAGCTCAAGCCAATTCTGCCCTAAGTGTTTTGCCTCCCTAAAATTTAAAATAAAATAAATAACTAAAAAAATAGAATCCAGTAGAGTAAACCTTTATAACAGTACATTATACAATGGACGAAAATTGTACGTTCCAGAAATTCCGTAGTGCGAACTAAAATAACTCTGCAGACTTTATTATTAAACTTTTCGAGTTCGTTATCAGAAGTATATGTGATGTCTACTTTACAAAAGTAAGGTATACACAATGCTTATAAAAATGTCAGTCAGTTACTCTGAAATCTTATCGCTAGTCAGTCCCGTCCCGCACGCACCAACCGTCCTCGTCGGCGAGGTCGTAGAGCCCCTCATTTTAGCACGTACACTGGTAGATTCTCTCCAACAGCACGCCCTTCTGGCGGAAGTCTCCAGTAGCGCCCTGAGCCGAGGTCCGTGCCCACTTGGGCGCCCTCGGGCCCGCTACTTAGCTTTAAGTTTATTTTAGGGGTTAAGAGCCTTCAGCTCGCCCTTTTTCTCCGGTGGCGCAGTAAAGGCCATCAGCGGCCAACTGCAAAATATCCTTCCAAAAAATCTGAAATCTTGGCACAACAAAGCGGGTATTGGCTGAGGATTATTTGGATTATTAAGTGCGAGTTTGACTTCCATCTCAGCTGATGGAAAGTGACGATGATGTCGACTAAGGAACATGCACACCTAAATAATGCCTATGCACTCTCGCCTTGAAATGGTCCAAGTCGTAGCGTGCAGAGAACAAGTCTGTTCCACTCAATTCAATTCCACTCCATAGCCGTTCGCCATATAAATGTGGAAGCGCAACGCTTCGTGCGCATCCTTGGGATATCTACAATATAGGAGTGGAACCCCAGCGTAAGTCTGGTACCCCGATGACGGAAAGGGGAAGGTGGAATCGTGCAATTCCCTCGCACACTTTTAATAAATATATATTTTAACACTTTTTTCTTTTTTGTATTTTCTTTTCTTAATTTGTAGTCAACATAAATTTTGTGATTTATAATTGACAGTTACTTCTCTAAACATATCGAACGTACACGCTCCTGGTTGGCATTCAAATCTGGTTTTAAGCAAATTAATTTTTCAATGTATTTTTGAAGTCGGCTGTTGATTCGTCTAATAAAATAAAAACACTCTCCGTGATATATCCTGTAGAATACAGCTCTGCAGTTTCACCTCTACTAATTCCCAGTCACCTATACGCCTCTTGCCACGCTTTTTAACTGAACCCAAGGTGGCAAGTTCGTATTTAACAGAATTCATTCAAATCCTGGTTTTCAACAAGGGGTCCTTCTAAGGAAATGGTTTAAGGTGACCCAATTATTATAATTAATAATACAGAGATCGAACACTTAGAAAGTGCCAGACGCCATGCCTACTAAGCCACGGAAAGAACCAGCGGACCTCACGAATTTTTCTGTGCTTGTTGTCGGATCTTTGTATTTGATTTTCAACGACTTTTTAGCCGTAATGCCATCTATGAGGTCCGCCCGTTTGTTCCGTGGCTTAGTTGACACAGCGTCTGGCACGGTTTGTTAGGAGACGTCTCGGTTCAAATCCGGCCGCATCGAAGGATTTTTTTCTAAGTGTTCGCGATCTTTGTATTAATAATTACAACAAAGTAGTGGAGTAATTTCACGAAAAAATAATTTAATGTCGATTCAATACAAACTTAAGCCAATTATTGTTAAGGACTGTACTTTGCAAGTGTTGTGAATCTTCTTCGACGTGTTGGTTTCAAAACTCCACCTTTAGAAATTAGTAGCAGCAGAACTCGTTATGAAAGCGTTCATCCAGGGAAGTTCTGCCACCTTGCCAACTTCTGCCGCCAAACAGTAATGTCAGCATTGCTGTGTTCCAGTTTTGAAGGGTGCTGGCGATATTACAGGCACATGGGACTTGTCAACTTATGTCTCAGGGTGACAAGCGCAGTAGCAGTGTCCCTCTGATCTTTACGATTTAAAGCTCTGAGTGGCACTGCAACAGGCGTGTCTCTTAACAGGCGCACGACTTGTTCATCCCGTCACTTGGTGTTATATATAAAAAAGCAATAGTATGGATATTTGTGTACAGGGTATTATTCGAGGTCAGACACAATTAATGGTATACAACTAATTAGCAAATTTGTTATCATATTTAACCTGTTGGTAATTCGACACATTTACGTATACCTTGATTACTAGCGGTAGATCTTTGATCTCTTTCTGACTTCGCCTTGACTATTGTTGTAACTCGATTTTACTACAACAAACCACGCACGCTTTACTGAAGTGAAAACGTGACAAAACGTGAGTTGAGAAATCGATGGTTCTAATTTCTATTACGGCAAGTACTATTTGACCCCCTAACAATGCTATTTGGTTCTATACTACGTCAAAACATTTATTTAACTTTTGACAGCTCGAATTTTAATTAATTAGTGATGTCGTAATGCGTTTCCGATTTGACTTTGTGTTCTATATATACTTTAGAAATTTATAAATTTCTTAAACAACACCCTGACTTTTATACTAACATTGACGACCTGCCCCAACGACACACTTTTAGACCACGCAATAGATTGCTTCTGCCACGATCTCGGCTACACATACACA